GCGCGCGGGGGGGGCCAGCTCCCGGGCGGCGGCGCGGGAGCGGGCGGCGGGCGGCGGGCGGCGGGCGGCGGGGCGCGGCGAGGGACGGTGGCCGGATGTCCCGCCCGGCGGCTCCCCGCCCCCGCCCCCGCCCCCGGCCCCGCCGTGACACAGGCGCGGGGGCGGGCCCAGGCCGGGGGCGGGGAGAGAGGCCCGCGCCCCAGCACCGGGCGGGCGAGGGAGGGCGCGTGCAGACCCCCACCCGGGAGAGGGCGCCGGAGCGAGGGCCGCCCTGGTGCTCCGGGCTTCGGAGACAAAAGCTGCCGAGGCCCGGAAGGCAGGAGTCGCAGGCCAGGGCTCCCCGGCTCGCGCGGCGCGTGCCCTCGGGGAGTTGGACGGGGACCTGCGCCCAACGCCCCGCCGCACACTCTGGCCTGAGACCTTCCTCCAACCGCGGGTCCCGAGGCAGAGGGCCCCCGCAGCGCAGCGCCGAGTCCGAACTTTCGGGAAAGCCTTCCTTCCCCCCCGCAGGAAGCAGAGTCCCCAGTGTGCTCCCCCAGCCACCCTCCCCCAGCCACTCCCGCCGAGAGGAGCAAGGCTGTCAAGCGTTGACCAGTGGCTCATCTCCATGGTGACCGTCAGATTTAGCAGTACCTGCCGGATGGCCGTGTTGGTCGGCTGGGTAATGCTTAAATGCCTGGGAATGGAGTCTTCTCCCCTCCTGTCTTTCTTCCCCCAGGCCTGAAGAGGTGGGATAACTGGCACACTCTGGTGAGGGGCCTCTGGCAAGTGGGTGCCTGGTGGTCACAAGAGTGATCAGCACATCCTGGAGGGTGAGGAGCGGCACAGAGCAGCAGAATCTGCCTGCCTGGAGCCAAACGCGCAGTCAATGGCACCAGGCGGATTCGGGAACGCCTAGGACAGCAGTGGCCAGCCTTTCCCCACCTGAACTGGCACTAGCAAAGGCTCCAGATTTCATCCTGTTACGGATGTGTGGGGAGTAGTGATGCGATCAGGCTCCACATTTACCAGGCAGGTGCCTGCTCAGTGTTTGGTATTCTCTTTCAGTTGTCAGAGTTGCCCTGGGGAGGCAAGTACTACAGGCATTCCCAAGGCACAGCTGAGGAAATTGAGAGGCTCTGGGAAGCTGAGACTCTATATGGGTCAGTCTGATTTTAAAACCCACACTCCTAATCACCATCTCTTGGAGATTAATGGACAAACGTGAAATGGTTGGGAGGAAGCAGCTGATCCCAGGTTATAGTATTGAAGGGCTGAATGGAATGGGCTGAGTAGATGCCAGAGGCTCGGAGTTCAATGGGAGAATGGAGGTGCCACTGATCAGATGATTTCAGAAGCATGAAGGGTCCAGGGGAATGAGATGAAGCTTGCTGGATGGCCCCCAATCCTTAGCATTGAGTGCACTGGTGGCTTCCTCGCTTCTCAATAGGCTCCCAACAGCTCACTGCCTGATTGCTGGGGTGCATCTGAGGATGCACCACCCAGGGATTTTTAAAAAAAATTTTTTTTCATCCACTGATTTCTAAGTTGGCCTCAGGTTCAGCCTTCACTGAAGCGCTTCCTTGCTTCCAATAGCACCGAATGTAGATTTCTGGCATTGGGATTATTTTTTACTGGGATCAGTTTTTTAAAACAATAAATGTTTTTTTATACTAGAAGAGGGGGGAAAAAAACCTTTGAAAACTTTTTGAGGGATCCCTGGGTGGCGCAGCGGTTTAGCGCCTGCCTTTGGCCCAGGGCGTGATCCTGGAGACCCCGGATCGAATCCCACATCGGACTCCTGGTGCATGGAGCCTGCTCCTCCCTCTGCCTGTGTCTCTGCCTCTCTCTCTCTCTCTCTCTCTGTGTGTGTGTGTGTGACTATCATAAATAAATAAAAATAAAAAAAAAACTTTTTGATAATTTGGGCTGACGCTCATTCCTCTGAAGTCTTCTGTGCTAGCAGTCACAGTAAAGTAGTCTGAGTACAGGAATGGCCACTTGGTTTGTGGGGAGTCCCTGGGCGAGGTGCTTGTCTCCACACCAGTTTCCTATCTGTAAAATGATAGGGCATCAGGCAGCCCCGATGGCGCAGTGGTTGAGTGCTGCCTGCAGCCCAGGGCACAATCCTGGAGACCCGGGATCGAGTCCCATGTGGGGCTCCCTGCATGGAGCCTGCTTCCCCCTCTGCCTGTGCCTCTGCCTCTCTCTCTCTCTCTCTCGCTCTGTATCTCTTGTGAGTAAATAAAATAAAATCCTTAAAAAACAAAACACTGAAGCAGTCTTTAAAAAAAAAAAAAAGATAGGGCACCATGCACCTCATGGGACTCTTGTGGGCAGCACACTGATGGCAGGGCTATAGTTAAGTCTGTGGCAGTGTCTGTGCCACTAATATCCTCTACTGAAATGCACCAGCCCAGATGTCCATACCAAAATGAAGAAGAGGGTGGGGCAGCTCCATCCTGCCTCCCAGGAACCCCCACGGCCATAAACCTTGCTCTACACTGAGTATGGTCAACCCTGAGACTGGGCTGAACCAAGATCCAGGCAGTCACAAACCCTGGGCCCGTGAGGACTTTCAGTCCCTTGGCAAGGAGTGCCACTTACAAGACACAAAGGCCCTGGGACAGTTTCTGCTGGCGACTCCCCGAGGACATGACCCAAGGTGATGAGGTGCTATCTTCACTACACACCTACCTGAGGACCAGTTCCCAGGTCCCTGGCCAGGTGAAGGCTGGCAAACCAGGGATTTCACATTGTACAGGCAGGTAACTCTGGCCACCATGATGCCAAGAAGTCCACCCCAAGTTCTCATCTGCTCTGTCTCCTTTCCTCCATTTGCGCTCTCCGTTTTCCTGCCCACTTTGTTTATTGGCTTCAGCCAGCCCCTCCACTACAAGGGTTAAGAGGGATCCCCAAAATAAATAGTGACCCCTCTGCACGCACCCCAACCACCCCCCCCCACAAAGATGACAGGACACACAGGAAACAATCCTTTTCTAAATCAATACAATTTTTCAAATTTATTTTTTTCTTAAAGAAGTACTAATCTCTGTCAAAAGGGAGGTGAGGAAAGGTCCTCCCTCCCTTGTAAACACTGAAATACAGATCTGAGAAACCAGGGTCGACACACACAAAAAGTGCATTTTACAAAATATCAACTAAAATATATTTTACATGAATTATGCTTCCATTGAAATTCTACCAGCTGCATTTTCAGGTTCGAAAAAATATTTCCACATCTAAGAGATTCCAAAAGAATGTAAGTACTGGGCAGCAGACCCCGCCTCCGGGGAGGAGGGGCCTTCATCTCCTCTCCTGCTGAGTGAGGCTGGGCTCCTTGGCAGCCAGGGCCCAGCACCCTGGGAATAAGCAGGCTCCCAGGCTGGCTCTTCAGAGCCCCCACGGCCACTCTGCCAACCTCTTTTACTGCCCCACACCTTCCTCCAAACAGCTTATTCAATACAAGGGCACCCCAGCCCTTTCCCCTCGGGTTTGGGATTGGGCTTTCCACATGTAAATTCACCTCTGAAGCCTCCAGGCCTCCCCCAAGCCCAATGACCAATCCGGAGCAGCCCTGTCTTCTCAGGGATCCCACAGGGCCTGGGGTTGCTGGAAATGCCCTCAGGATGCTTTCACCTCCACCTCCAGACCCAGCCCAACTGTCCTCACCCGGTTGTCACCTCCTTAGCTGGAGCTGGGTCTGTGCCTGTCCCTTCCTAGGTGGGGGGGGAGGAGGAGGAGTGCTGCCCTCCTAGGCTCCTGCCCCCCCTCCCCTGTGGAGGTGCTCATAGTAGGGCCCAAACCACACTGTGCTCCTCTCCCCATCCCCACCATGCTCCTCTTTGGTACAAATAGGAAAGAACCAGGCTGCTCCAGCCCCCTCACAGAGGGCCCCCTGGGGGGGGTGTTAGGGCCTGGTCCCCCAGCAAGGACAACAGGGGGCCCAGCCTCCTAACCTACTCTGGGGAGCAGCATTAGTGAGAACAGGGCCCCTGGGCAACAGGAACAAAACAGAAAATGCAGGTCCTTAGCTCCTAGAGTGAGTGGCTGCAGCTCAGCAGGTCTGTGGACTGATACAGTGTTGATTCTCGCAGGGATGTAAATTAGTGCAATCTACAAAAGACTAGGGTAAGGGGTGGCAGGGCCAGGGGAGCCACAGCACTCCTTTGGTTTGATTTCAGGTGGGTGTGGCTTGAAGAGTCATGTATGAAGTTCTGCAAGAGGTTTCCTAGAACCTCCAAGTGTAAGGCAAGAGGAAAAGTCTTCAATAAATCAGGTAGCAAATTTTCCTTGCCCCCTGCCCCCCACCCCCTCCCAGCTCCCTTCTGCCCTCCCAGACCCAACTAACCCCCTGTTGACCAGTTAGCTTCTGTGAAGCCAGACCTGCTGGATGGCCCTCACCAGAAGGCCGACAGGAAGCTGACTCCCACAAGCGGGCCACACCCATGACTGTCACCACTGGGTAACTTGTTCCAGCACTAGGGGCTACTACAGGGGCAGAGGAGGAAGCCAGGGAAAGGCCCCAAGTCTAGAAAGAGAGTCTATGCTCTGGAAGCCAGACTCTGGGCTCTCTATTCCTCAAAGGAAGGAGCTCGGAGCTGTGCTAGAATCTGGGAGAGCCTGGTCCCAGGCTGATGGGGAAGCAGCGGGTCACAGTGGGTGAGGTAAAGCTGGCTCCCACCCCCCCTCGAAGGGCGCAGGGGAGGCTAAAGAGGAGCCTGGTGGGCCTTATTCCTGAAGGACTCCCCCCCACCCCGCCCCTGGGCCCCATCCTCCTCAGGCTAGGCCCAGCCTCAGGGAAGACTGCTTCTTCAAGTCTCCACCAGGGCCACCAGAGAGAGGCACCCAGGCCAAGCTGAGCGCTGCGACACTTTCCTTATACCCTGGCCTCCCCTTCCCTCCCCAGGGGCCCAGTCCCCAGAGGGGTCCCTGCCCTCCCCCCAAGAGAACCACAGGCCAGCAGCCTCAACCCCTGTGGCCCCTTAACCAAGTGCTGTGCTTCAAGCAGTACCCCTGCCCCAAACCCCCCCTCCCCCGCCCCCGGGCGGGCCTGAGGAGGCTACTGAGGGTTCTTGAGGATGCGGCCATGGCGGAAGTCATAGACATGGCGGCAAAGAAACACCAGCTCAGGGTCCGTGTCCTCGGGCACCGTGCGGTGTGGCGGAGTAGAGTAGTCTGCAGAGGGGGGCACCAGTGCTGTCTTTCGGCTCGGGAGGCCCTCGCCTCGGCGCTTGGCCATGGCACAGAATCTGCAGTGACAACACCATTTGCTGTTTTTACCACAGGCAGCTTTGCAGGAAGATCAATTCCTTCCCTACCCTGCCCAGAGCGCTGAGGCATCCCCTCCCACCCCTACGGGGGCTGCTGCTGCCTCCACACCTGTCCTGGGGGAGCACGTCTGCTGGGACCTCCCTCCCCACACCTAATGATTCTCCTCGAAGGTTCTCTGAGATCCATACCGTGACCACCCCCAAACGCTGCCCCAACCTCTCTGCTTCAGAGGAGGGACAATTCATTCTCCTACAAACATTAGAACAGTGAAAGGCGGCAGTGAGGAAGAATGCTCTGGGAGGTCAGGCCCTGCGAATGAGATCCTTTTGGGAATCTCAAGCAGCCCCTAAACAGCCCTGGGGAGTCTAAGGGGAGAGGCTAGCCAGAGGCGCAGGGCACCACCCACCTGCAGTACTCAGCAAAGGTCAGCACGTAGCACTTCTCCTCAATGCAAGCCACACTGTTCTGGTCCTGATGTCTTGACGCAAAGACTTCATTCTGCAAAGGCTCAAGGAAAGAGAGGAGAACGTTGGTATCAGGGCTGGCAGCACATAACTCCAGAAGCAAGGCAGACATTAGCTCTTCTGCTGGGACTCCTGACCTGAGAGAACTCCAGCTAGTGCCCAGAAAGCCAGGGAGTATCCCAGGAATTTCAGCCTATCTGCTCCTCACCCAGTGCCCACCCCAGGACACCCCGCCCAGTCCCATACTACTTGGGAAAAGCCAAGGGCCTGCTCCAGCAACCCATGCCAGGGGAGGAGAGCGGAACTGGTGCCCATCTCCTGAGGAGACGGAAAGCCCAGCAAGGGAAACAAAGTAAAAGGGAGCCCCGGCTGGGGACGGAGTGACCACACCGGATGATACTACCTCTCCTAACACACTGCTTGATAGAGTGCCCACGGGCGCCCGGAGTCTTTTCTCTCCTCCCTCCTTTTAAGAAAAAGGTTACTATTCCCTTTGAAACATAAATTGGGGCAGTGCTGGGAAAATCGGCTAAGACCCAGGCTGGTCTGTGGCATCTGAGATGACTATGACTTGACTGCCCATGGCTGCTTCTCCAAACCATGTTCTTGGGGCCACCACTTCTCTCTCCTGGACACACTTGCCAGGCAACTCACCTCGTGCATGCTGGGACTGCGGCCTCCCTGTAAGTGCTCTGGTCTGTAATACCACAAGAGGCTCATCATCAGTTCTCCTAGGGCAACAAGAGAAGCAGTCAAGGCTTGAGCTGGCGACCTCAGAGTTACTTAGACAGGCAGGAAGGCTGGGCTACCTGCCGTTGAGTATCATCCAACTTCCATACTTGGGCCAATCCTCCAGGCTCCAGACACTCACATCCCCTGCCTCAGACCAAGCCGGAGTCTGGAATGCTCTCAGGTATGGAGGCAGAAAGGGGAAAAGGTACTGACAGGTGAGGTAGGAGGACAGGTGCCCAGGTCCTGGTGGCTGGAAAGGTTAAAGAGCTGATCCAACCCAAACCACAGGGCCATCTGCAGCCCTAAGCAGTAGACAGATGCCGGCTGAGTGGAAAGCAGACTCTGTGCCAACAGCAGGAAGAGACTAGTGCCAGGTCAGACTCTGGGCAGGGGGTACCTGATTCAGGGTTCTCCCAGAGGGCAGAGATCTTGGCCACATAAGGTGTGGACGTCTTTCGTGGGCCTGACTTGAGGAGGACGGTGTCCCGGACTCGGATCGTCTCTCCATGCCGCTCCACCGCCTGGTAGCTCTTTCGGATGGCTGGTTCTGGTTCATCCTAACAAACCAATGATGCAGACAGGCTGATGGGGGCCAGGTTCAGAGTGAGGAGGGGAGGAAGGAAGGAGGGAGCAAAAGACATTCTCTCTTTGCTCTCCTCAGGGTAGCTGAACTACTGAGGATGGGAAATTGCAAAAGTAGTTTCCATTGTGGCCTCTTCTCCTTCATCCTGGCTTTCAGGGGCAGGATAGGAACGGGAACTCCCCATGGTTGGAGAAAGGACAAAAAAAATCGGAATACAGGTGGGAAAGTGGCCTAAAGCCCCTGGGGCTGTGCAGTGACCACCAGACCCCAACAGCCGGTTCTCTTGCTCCAAGCCCCAGCATCTAGAAGGTTCTCAAACTTCCTATTGGGGCAGTTTGCATTTGACCCTTAAACCTCCACTGCTAAGTGGTACGGCCCTGGGCAAATTACTTAATCTACTACTATGCCTCAGTTTCCCCATCTGTGAAATGAGTATAGAACATGGGATATGCACCTCACAGGGCAGAAGTGAGGACGAAAGCACCTTAGAAGTGCTTGATAAAGTTTAGTCGATACTTGTTTCATCAACCCAGAGGTTCCTGTATCGCTCATTTTCTCTGCCTATCCCAATTTTCCCTATACATGCTTATCCAAAAAACCTTCATGAAAGCCCACCATTTTATAATCTAGAACAAGAGACCGTATGATCGGGGAGGAGGAATAAAGACACTTCAGATGGCTTCCCTGAGGGTCACCGACAGAGATGGGGGTCAGCAGGTGTGACAGACTGTGTACCCCTCCCCTCCCCGAGACACGCGATACAGGATCGGCAGCGGGAGCTGGGGGAGCAGACTGGGCCAGCACGATCAGTTCCCGGAGTCTAAGTGAGCGGGACCCCTTGTCACCTCTCAGGCTAGAGCCAAGGGTTCCTGGGATTCCCTCACAGCAAGTCCCATGTCCCCACTGCCATCCCTCCCTTCTCCCATCAGCTAAGAGCTAGCACTCACCAAGACATAGACCGCCTTCTCACATGCAGCACCGACGGGCACCCAGCCATTAGTGCGGCGACGGCGACGGCGGCGTGGGCGCTGGACACGCGGCTGCTTGGGGTGGCTGGGCCTGCAGGCGGCCTTGCTCCTCGCGGTGTGCCTACAGCTGGAGCCTGTGCGCAGACCGGACTTGGAGCCGCTAGGAGGCTTGGCGCTCTGAGGGCATGCGCGGGCTACGGTCTGGGGCTCCGAGGTCGGTGTCTGAAGATGGGGGACGGGCTCTGCTGCAGGTGGCACGCTGGGCACAGGGCATCCCAGGAGGGGGTGGGCAGGTGAGGCAGGGTGGCCAGCTTCTGGGAGAGGAAATTCCAGCTGGCCTAGGGACCTGCAGCCTTCTGGGAAAAAGGAGAGAGGGGATTAGGGCAGGTAAGGACAAGCAGTAACCCCGCTGGGCCCCCCACTTTCAGAGCCCACTCCTGTCTTAATTCTAAGTGTCAACCCAAAGGTCCCTGAGCAAGTGGAGTCAGAGGCCTTTAAGGTGGATTGTCAGTTTGACTGGCTAGGGGTGTTTCTTGACCCTGGAGACTGGCCACAGCCCTCTCCATCTCCCCCTTCTAGCCTGAAAGAAGGGGAGGTAACGGGAACAGTGTCTCTAGCTCTGACTTTCTTCTCCAGGGCTTCCACAATGCTTAGGAGCAAGGGGAGCCAGAGTCAGCCCATGATATGGATCCCAGACCTGCCACTCACTGGCTGTGTGACCTCAGGCAAGTCACGCTGCCTCCTAGGGCCTTGCAATAGGAGGAGAGGCAAATAGCACATAGGGTGTCCTAGATGTTTTTATCAATGTATTAACTCATTTCATCCCTACATCAACCCTATATGGTAAGTACCATTACCACCATTCTGTAATCAAGAAAACCGAGACACAGTTACCGGCTTATCCCATGGTCACGTGTCTAAGGAAGTGGGGGAGAACACTTCACTCCAGGCAGTCTGGCTCCAGAATCTGTACTCAATTACATGCCATGTGGCCTCTCATATGTAAAGCACTCAGAATAATACCTGGCACATGGTGCTTACTGGTGTTCCAGGGCAAGGGGTTAGGGTCTTGGGTCCTCTGGATTAGGTGTCTAGATGTGGGAGAGTGGTACAAAAAAGAAGGAAAAGCCCAAGCAAAAGCCTGATCTCATTTCTTAGAGCTCCAACTCATGCCCAAACCTGAAACAACCAGTCTGGCCAGAGTCAACTGGTCTATAAAGTTGTTTTATAGACCCCTACAAGGAGGGTTGTGGGGTGGTGGTGGCAGGGAGAGGGCTGGTAAGGCCTAGCCTCTCACTTCATCAGCAGCAGGGCAGACCTGCCAGACAGGATGGCTCTGATCACCTCACTTCTACCCAGGCACCAGGGATGGAGGCTGGAGAGGCATGAGAGGACACTCCTAACAGTTTAGGGGGAAGAGATCATCATGGGGGTGTCTCATGGGCTGCAGTGCAAGCCTCTCAGGTGTCTGCGCCTTGCTAGGAAGGTAGACACCAAAGCCACAGGCCCTGTTAGCATCCTGTCTGTGCCAGGGTACTCTCTGTTCTTAGTGTGTGCCCACTGTTTGCCCCTAGCAGATGATGCTACATCTGGGTACTACCTCTCTTTCAAAGCATGTATGGGGAGGGTGAAGCAGTCCTACTGCAGCTGGCACCACCTACAGGGCCTGGTACCCGCCACCCTTCCCATGACCACTGAACTATGCCAGAGTGCAGATGGAATGGGCTCCTGGAAAGCAGAATTCTAGCTCTCCTTCAGGAAGGCAGAGGATTATAGGAGTAACTTGGCAAAAGCCCTATTTTCAATATCTAACTTGCTACTCAAGAATATGAGAATGGGTATCCCGATGGGGAGGGAGGGGTGGTTCCCCTGCCCCGGCCACTGTCACAATGTTACCTAAGTGCCAGGCCAAGAAATCTCCATACATGGTGGAGACAGAGCAGAGTTAAGAGCTGGACACGGGCTTGGAGCATGAAACCAGGGGGAGTCCTCCCTTCTTGGAGCCCCCTACCTCCCACATAGTAGCTAGACCTCAAGGAACCCCACCCCAATCCATGGCCCAGCCTCCTGGGACACCACAGCTGACTCCCTGGGAGATCCCACACCTAGGAACATTTACCTGCTGCAAAAGGCATTTTGTAGGGGCAGCCGCCACAGGTAGTGCCAATGTGGGTAAGAGATGGGGGCAACATTTCACAGATGCTGTATCCATTCACTCCAGTGTCCTCGCTAGAGCAGTAGCGAGAGCCCCAGGGAGGGTGCTGGAAAGGGGTGCCTGCAGGCACTGAGCTTGGTGCCAAGAGGAGCCCCTCGTTAGGTGCAGCCACTGAGGACAACTTGCCCTCGGGAAGCATGGGGCAGGGGGCATAGCCTCCACACTGCAGCCCGTCTTGGCTGCAGTACACGTAGAAGCTGCCCAGTGCAGTGAGCTCAGGCCGACCACACAGGCCACTGTAGTGGGCAGGGTTGCCAGGCATCGGCAGCGGGGACAGCTGGGGTGCAGGGAAAGAAGGCTGGTGCAGTTCCTGCTTGGGGGCAGGTGACTCCTCGCCTGGGCGCCCAGGCTCTGGCTTCAAGGCTGCCTGCCCACCCATCAGCAGGGGCAGGTGGGGGCGGAGCCCTAAGGGGCTTTCCAGAGCCTTGCTCAGTGGCTGGTAAGGTGGCTGGCTGGCTGGCCCACGAGGGGTGGCAGATGGCCATGGCTCCTCAGGGTGCCTCTGCCAGCCAAGTGGGCCCACCGCCTCCCCAGAGCCAGGCCCCTGCCGGGCCTTGGGATAGTTCTTGCCATGGACCTTATTATTAGCCCACTTTGGCCTCGGAGCCCTCAGCGCTGGTGGTTCTGCAGAACGCCCATCTGCTTCTGGGTGGGCACGAGGTGGCCTCAAGGGTAGCTCCCGCTCCTGGCTCAGCTTCAGGAAGGCAGCTGCATTCAGGCTGGCCAGTCTCTTGGGCGCTGGGTCACCGTCTCGACGGGCACCATCATCAGGTGCTGGCTCTGGGGACAGGTCCCGACTTCCTCCTCCAAGGTCCCCTAGCCGGGGCCGTTTCTTGGAGGAGGACCAGCCCCCAGCGGCTCGGTCACGGTCCCGGCTGCGATGAGGGTCGCCCCGACTGCGACGGGTGCCCACCAGGCTGCTGGCATCCTCCCGCTCCAGCAGCAGGTTATTGAGGGCCTCTGCATTGAGGGAGGCCAGGCGCCTCTTGCGGGGCTGGGTAAGGCCAGTGTCCTCACCAGATGGGGCTGGGCTCGGGGACTTGGGCAGGTCAGGGGGCAGCTCATCAGCCTCATCTGCACTCCGTGGGCCAGCCACATTCTCCAGGCGGGTCAGCAGCACTTTGCAGGCCTTGGGCTTCTCGGGTACCAGGGGGCGCTTCCGCAGCGGGTAGTTCTTGCGGCGCCCTGTGAGGTGTCCTGGGCTCTCGGGCATGCCTGCTTCCACACTCTCTGCCCCCTGCTCCATATTGCTTCCTTCCATCTGCAGGGGCTCCCGGCGGCCAGTGGGGCCCGAACTCAGCATGGGAAGGGACTTCCTCCGTGTGTGTGTCATGGAGTACTTCCAATCTGCGGGGCAGAAGGCAGGCAATGAGAGAAGCCCACCGTGACCTGCCCTGCCTGCTCTCTGCTCTTCTGCAGCCCATCCACTGTCACCGCCGCCCCCTTCAGTCACTTTGGCCTTGCCTCATCCCATCCACAGCCTGGATTCTCCCAAGACCCCTCTTCCAGAGTGCAAAGGTTCAGTGGGGTCAGTCTACCAACAGCTGTGCGAGGACTGGCTGCCCACTCTTCTTTTTAGCCTAGGGTCCTGCTTTGAACTAAGTAAGCCCTTCTAGTGCCTATGGAAGGCTGCAGACTCCAGGGTCAGAAGACAGAAGGCACTGGGGGCAAAGCTGTCAGTTCTCTCTACTTGTCCTTGTCCCACTACTTATCGCAGGTCAGGAAAAGGCTCTGAGGGGCACCTTGGTGGCTCAGTGGTTGAGCATCTGCCTTCAGCTCAGGTCATGATCCCGGGGTCCTGGGATCAAGTCCCACATCAAGCTCCCCACAGGGAGCATGCTTATCCCTCTGCCTGTGTCTGCCTGGTTTTTCTCATAAATAAATAAATAAAACCTTAAAAAAAAAAAAAAAAAAGCAAGAGGCTCTGAAAGACATTAAGCCAGGACGGGGCTTGGGTGTGGGAGCCCATCTGTTCCTTCAAAAATATTACCAAACCTTCCCCCACCTTGGGGCTTCTGAAATTGGCCACAGGAAGATAAGGACATGGACAGGAGCTAAGGTGAGGAACCTGCCTGCTGGGCTGTGGAGGAAAGCAAAGTCCAGCCGGTGGGGACACCCCCCAGGCATGTAGAGCAGGATGGCCATAACCGGGATCTTGCTGAAAAAGTCCCCTGAACGGAAGGCCTGGCTTTGAGGAGTCCATGGTCAGGAGAGGTCTCAGGCAGCCCCACGAGCCAGCCCCACTTTGGTTCAGATCCTGGGGAAGGGCGGCCCAATCTGTGTCTGTGCCTAGAGAAGGATGTCCCTAAGGCAAGGGTGAGCATTCCTGGGTAGGAGCCCCACATGACAACACACATGACACCCCCCCTCAGCCTCTATGAGTTAGGGAAATCAAGTATTAAAGAGAAGAACTAACTTGAGGCAAACCAACAAACCAGACTGGGGCTGCCTTACTAGTCCTGCCCTATTTCTCTGGTCTCCCTCCTGGTAGGCAAGAGATGCCAGGAAGAGAGGAGGACAGGGTCAGGGGTGGGAGCGGCAGAAAGCCCAAAACCCTGGAGAGAAAATGCCCATGACCAGACCGGCAAAGTGGCATCCCCTCACTTTGCTCGGCAAATACTCCCCTGCCCCCAACATACCTGGGGCAGCGTAGGCCCCTTCCCGAATGAGAGGCCAGAGCTGTGCTGTGTCCTGGAGGCTGGCATGGGCAAGGCAGTGAAGAACTGGCGGGGTTGGGGGTGGGGGTGGAGGTGTCAGTGGTCAGGGACGACCAACCGAGCTGTTCACTCCCCAACCCAAAGCAAGGTGCTGCCAAATAAGGTGCCAGACAAGGCTCTGCCCTCCCAGGCACCCTGCAACCCCTCCCCACCCCGCAGGCCCAGGCTTTCCAGTGAGATTTCCCCACCGCTATTGTTATTCATCCTCCCTCTCCCTGAGAGGCTGGGAGCAGTCCCCGCTGGGCCAGGATTTAACCCTGAAAGCCCCAAGCCTGAAGGCTCCCAGGCATTCCTGAGCCCTCCCCAGCTAGCTCCCGTGGCCTTGCGCCAGTGGCTGGGGTCACTGGGTACCTTCTCTCCACACACATGCTGTACTAGTTGAGAAAGAGTGCTCAGAAAACCAGGCTGAGGGCATCGTGGGTGTCAGGCCCAGAAAGGACTCGGAAAACTGGAAAAGGGAGGCAGCGTGCCAGGCGTTGCTCTGACCACGTGCGGGGCCCTGCTGCAGCCCAGAGAGCAGGCTGGGGCGAGACAGAGGCCCAGGAAGCAAACCCATCCCCCCCCCCAAGCCGAAGCACAGCCGGGAGGGTCCTAAAGAACCCCAGGAGTCTGCCAGGCTCCCTAACACCCCCTCTGCTTCCAATCAGGGTGGCTACCCCAACCCTGGTAGCTCAGCAGGCTTATTAGCGATGCCTCCTCTCACTCTCCAAAGCATCCTGGCTGCTTGCAATCCACAGACCCCCTTCTCAAACGCAGGGCACCCCTGTGCTGGAGAAGCCCCAACAAAAGGCACATCTGCATCTCCTAGGAAAGTTGAGGCCCAGCCCTCCCCGACCCCCGAAGGGCCTGGAGTCGGAGACAGAGGATTCAGGATTCCGGCACAGACCTCACAGCTGAGCGAGCACAGAAGCCACTCAACAGGACCCAAGTTACCAGAGGAGTCAGGCCTGGGAATGGCTGGGGGCCAAGGCTGAGGTCACCTGGGCTTATGGCCTTTAAGGACATGGATACCAAGTACGGAGCAAGGAGGGGCCAGATGGGAAAGAGTGAGCTCAGGAAGGTGCCCACAAGCCTGGCAAGCAAAAGAGCTCTTAGCGAAGAGATGGCTGGCCTGTCCCGATGGTCCCGTCGTCATCGTCATCACTGCCCCCCACCCCGAGTCTGCTGGTGGACCAGCTACAAGGGTAGACCCTGAGATACTCGCCCCCGCCCCAACAGTCAGAAGATCCTAGAAGGGAGAGGTTGGGAGGGGAGCCTGTCCCCAGAACTCAGGGATATGTTCCTTATGGTGTCTTATCCTGTCACCTCCCATTCAGCTCTGCAGTCCCTCAGAGACACCTACTGTCCTCGATCCCAGGAAGCCTCTAAATCACAGGGTGCAAGTCACATTTCCAAATCAAGCATAAGAGCCTCCTGCTAGTTTCCCTTGAATCCACCAAATCCCTTGTCACCAGCAAAAGAACTCTTAGCTTTCATGTGGTGCCTAAGGCAGCAATGTCACTCACCATCCTGAGGAGAGGCTGGGGTCTGCTGCCTGCCTCGCTGCACTCCCATCTGAGGAGAGCGGGTATGAGTCATGCTTTGAAGCCGGACTTGTGAGAACTTCAGCTGCAGCTTTTCCCTGGGGTGGGGCTGGGTGGAGGGGGCTCCCCTCTAACCTGCAGGGGTGGCCCAGCTCTAGGGGGGGCAGAAAAGCCTGGGAAAGCAGGACGTGTGGCTCCCCTTTCAGCTCTGCCAATCCTCCTGCTGTTCCATCCCCACCCACCAGCTAGACCAAGAACTTCCGACCACTGCCAAGAGACAAGGGTCCCTGGGCTCTCTCAGCACCACCCTTCTCTTCAGGTAGCCTTGTCCTCCCAGGCATAGATAGTCTAGGTCCCCTTGAGAGAAGGTTCCTAGGAGGGCCTCCCCAGGGCATATTATTGCTCACCTAGACTGTGTCAAGCTAGCACTACTGAAGAAAACCAGTCTGACTGTCCCCAGCTTTGATCAGAGAACAGCCAGCTGCCATGAAGGAGAGTGGCCAGTGTCCTCCATGCCAAAGACCTAGCAAACCACAGGTTGAAACCAAAATCACAAAGTGTACCTTAAAGACAGTAAACAGGCCATCAAAGGCGCAGCCAAATTGTCAATACCCCAAACTCATATCTGTCCAGGGCTAGGAGTCCTCCTCACAGAAGCAGAAAGGGAGGGAGGACTTGGCTTTTGCCCTTCAGCTGCAGCGGCCTCATGCCCCCCCCCCCCCCTCTCTCTCTCAAAGCACACTCAAGGTGCTGTTGTGCAAGGGAGAGTCAGAGGCCCGGGGAGTGTGGGCTGCAGGCACCACTGCAGGGAAAACCAGCAGGTCAAGCCCAGATCACTCCTGCCAGCAGAGATGGCCTGGCCCAGGACAGGAAGTCATGGGCAACAGTCCCCCCGCCCCCCCACACACACACCTTACTCAGCTGTAGGCGGTACACCCAGTCAGGACCCAGGACTCTGCCCCACTACCCTTCCTGAAACCTCTCTTACCCATTGCGCTTTAAGTTCTGCTTTTCAGGCTTTTGGGGTTATTTATTTTTCACAGGAGGAAAGTGTTCGGGGGGGGGGGGTCTTAGGCAAAAGCAGGCTAGGTGGTCACCTGGGTGAGGGTCCACAAGTGCCCTGACCCAAGCCACCTCCCTCCAAATTATACCCAAAGTCACACAATTGATACTGAGTTAAGCACTGCCTTCCTTTGCACTCTCTCTTGGCATAACCTCCCCCAAAGGAATAACAGGTTTTCATGAGCACTGAGTTTCTTAAATCTCCTATAAGAGAAGAAATGCAGCAAGAGCACAAAGGCAGGCTCCTGTTCATTTAAATGCAGTTGGTATTACTTCATGAAGAAACAAGTGAAGCTGCCAAAACTCAGGATAAATCCAGGTTCGGTCACGCTGGTATCTCTTGAATCCCCAATGGCTGATAAACTGGAAAGGAGCAAACCTTCAAGGGAGGCAGACCTCGATTTGCATGCCAGCTCTGCCCCTGGTAAGCAACTTACTTTACTTCCCTGAACTTCAGATTCCTCATCTAAAATGGATACATCAGGGGTGCCGGGCTGGCTCAGAGGTTTAGCACCGCCTTCAGCCTAGGGTCCCTGGAGACCCGGGATCAGGTCCTATGTCAAGCTCCCTGCATGGAGCCTGCTTCTCCCTCTGCTTGTGTCTCTGCCTCTCTCTCTCTGGGTCTCTCATGAATAAATAAATAAAATCTTTTTTAAAAAATAAATAATAAAATGGATACATCAGAAGGAACCTTAAGGGTAGTGGTGAGGATGACATTAGTCTCTGTGCAGGAGCCCAGTGGGGTAGGAAGCAGGCAGGCCAGCGTATCCCCCAACCCCGCCTTCCGGACCCACGGACAGAGAGCAGTCTGCCCTTGGTTTGGGGAGTTCCCCACACCAGGAGCCGAAGCTATCGAGGCCGTGAGAAATCTGAAAACCCAGCCTGCACCTGAACTCTGCTCTGCTTCCATTCTGCCAAAGACCCAAGTGTCAACCCCAGAGAAAGATGGAGACACTGGGTGGGGGGAGCTGTGGGGGATTCATTGCTTACAGCAGTGAGGAGACAGGGGCAGAAACTGTCCCAGCAAACCCTAACAAGGCTCTAGGCCTCTGGGAAATACTCAAGTGGATGGTGAAAGGCCCAGGGGATGCGGCCAGGTGGCGAGTATTTGCCAGCTCCTGCCATCTGACTGCTGCTTCATACGAGCACCCAGAGAGAGCAGAGCACCCAAGCCCCCCAGGTGCTGACCCGAAGAGAAAGCGGTGGCCTGGGCCGCTGGCCCCCCCATACCCCCCCCCATGCCTATTCAGCCCCATCTGCTGCGGGCACCCGACTCACTGTGCAGTCAGGCTGGGATCCTGCGACACTTGGGCAGGAAGCACCCACCCCACCAGAGGGAACTGGCTTGATCTGTCTGGAAACAGCTTGTTATATAGATTGCCTTCGGGTCTGGTGGCCATCTGAGGAGCTGGGTCCACCCTGGAAGGCACCAAGCCTATCAATGGCCTGTCAGACCACCTGCTACTCACACTTCACACCAAAGGCTCCCAGTAGCCCAGAGCAGCTGTGCAGCAAAGGTTCACACCCACCTCACCTTGGGTCTGGGACCTTGGCCAACCCAGCCCGGCACCCGGACCCCGTCCTGGCTATACCTGTCTACTCTGACCATCCTGGCAGGAGGGCCACACAGGCCCAGAGCTGCACCCAAATATCCAGAACCCCTACTTTCTTCTGGCTTCAGACACAAAGCCAGACACCCTGCCTCTTGTAACAGTAAAAGAATACAAATCTCAGTGGGGAGGTAGGGGAGTTTTGAGTCCAACTATGAACGGACTCTCCAATTTTATACGAGAATTGCAATTCAGTACAGGAATATAGGTAACAGTAGAGCTAGTGGAATCTCCTCCCTAGAAACTGCCAGTGCCCCTGCAGGTAGGGGCTGACAGAGAGAAGGTGTACCCCTACGATCTAGAAGTCAGCATACACATGTGGACCACTGAGCTAGGACAGCGGGCAGAGGCACTGTGTTACATCATGGTGCTCTGCTTTGAGAAAATCTAACCTGATAAATTAGAAGGGAATCGCATGCAATGCAAAAGTAGTCTCCGGAGGGTTTCCTTTAAGGCACATGTGGCTACCCCAGGTCATCTGCCTTCCCTGGCCTTGTCCTCCCACCCAGCCCCGGTGCACCAGGGAGACCTGAATCTACCAGTGGTGGTCGGCTAAGCCAGAGCACCTGCTGCTCACTGCCAGGCACACAGCATCTCCTGTGACCTTGCTCATTCAGCCAACATTTGCTGCCCTCTCACCGCAGCCTGACACAGCAGATGTGAGACCTGCTGGGGCTAGAAGCCACTTGGTGCTACTGCTAATCCTAAGTGGGCCTGGTTAACAGCTTGAACTGCTCTGAGCCTTGGTATCCTCGTCTACACAGCTGGGTTGTCGTGAGGATCAAGTTAAACGAGAACGTGTGCAAAGTGCCTAAGTGCCTAGCAGAATACCCGGGGTAACAAGAGGTGTTCAACAGAAGCTCATCCTCCTCCCTCCTCCAATATGTCAAGTATTAGGCCAAATGCTGAAAAAAACTTAAAACAGACTAAGAAACTGGAGCTTGGATGGGTAGGAAGGAGGCCGAGACAATGTGACACAGACTCTAACAGGGTGTCCTGTCCAGAGCCTGGTATGGAGCACTGCGGCTCCACAGCAATTTCAGAGGGCAGACGTGAGCCAGCTCTTCTCTCAGACACAGCTGAGGGCCAAGAACTTTGCTTCATAAATGTTTAGATGTAGGAAGAAGGAACAAAGAGTCCAAGTCCTGGGACACCTGGGTGGTTCAGCGGTTGAGCATCTGTCTTTGGCTCAAGGCAGCCCAGGATCGATCCCACATCCAGCTCCCTGTGAGGAGCCTGCTTCTCCCTCTGCTTATGTCTCTGCCTCTGTGTGTGTCTCTCATGAATAAATAAATAAAATCTTAAAAAAAAAATGTCCAAGTCCTGAGGCAGGAGATAAGTGCAACCGTTCCCAGACTCTCCTTCCTTGGTTCTGTGGAGGCTCACTCCAGCCGGAGGGACAAGAGGATTCCAGGCTAGGTCTCCCTCAGACCTACCCCACCCAGACCCTACAGGGCCCAGATTGGGCGAGAAGCAGATCTATACCTGAAGCAGGACTCATCTGCTCTGGGCAGTTAACGGTGTGGGAGAAATAACACAGCAATCGAGCTGGGGCACCCCAAAGCCCAGCAATAGGCCCTCAGCAAAACCAAGAGAAAATGTCATGCTTTTGATATACAATTTTCAAAAAAGACAAGAGCTCCCCAGCCTGCTCCAGGCACCTACTCAGAAGGGCAAAGCACAGGTGTTCGTTCAATCACTGGGACACTCCGGGAACCAACAACTTGGATTTCTAAGATGGTCCACCAAGACTGGACGTGCTATCTCTCGTCCTGAACAGAGGTAACTGGCTGGCCGGGCCAACCTGGGAGCCCTGCCCTCCTACTCCCCAACAGAGTGCTAACCTCCTGAATGAGCCAGCTACTAGGAACAAGACCCAAGACCAGCCCTTCCCAAAGCTAACAGAACCACAAGGCAAACCCTCCAAGAGTTCCTGAGACCTAACACAAATACCTTATAGGTAACTAATTAACTAAGTGATTAGTGCCACCCTCATTAGGATGCAAACTCCATGGGGACAGGTGGGCTCTGCCGGCCTTACCACGAAATCTCACCCGCAGGGCTTAATAAGAGCTTGTTGAATGAACAAAGATCTGGTTGCCCACCTGCTCCACCCCATTTAACATTTCTACTCCGGACTGATGGCATCACTTGGGAACTCTGACACCCCCCCCCCCATGCTCCCCTACTCCCAGGAGCCCACGTGGCCTCTTCAGTGTAATCAACAGTTCAATAGGGCTACTTTGGGGAAATCTCTCCTATTTACATAACACAACCCTCTTCCACTACCATCCTCTTCTCTCACTCCCCCAACTTGCCCAGCTGTATCTCAGGAAAATATTCCACTTCTTAACCCAAAGCATTAAGCAAGCAAGGGCGGTACTTAGAGGCACACTGGTATCAAGACGAACGTCAGGGATATTCAGGCAAACTCAGCAGCAAAGAACCAGAGTTAGCATTATCAGTCTCCGAATCTCTTAAGTGTGCAGGGTAGGGAATTCCTGATTCACCACAGAGGCTTCTAGTCTGACAGGATGGCTAATGTTTGTCAAGCACTCACTGCGTGCCCAGCACCACCCTGAACGCATAACATTCACTCTCATTTATCCTCGCAATAGCCTCACCAGGGGGTTGTTACCATCTCCTCCCAATGAGGAGAAACAGGTACGGAGGGGTAAAAGAACTTGGCCACCCTCCTGTGCTGTGGACAGCAGAGGCAGGACATCTGGTGTCACTCCCAAAGCCCACACCCCCTCTGCAACACGGGACAGCTGCCGGCTCACAGACTAACATTCCAGATCAACTTGCACAGACCATTTCGCTTTTCTGTGTTGTTTTAATTATTGGTATTAACATCTTATTCATTTTTCCTGATTTTTTTGCCACAAAGGAACTGAAGCTGTACTCCAATTAAATGGCATCGGTGGGCCGGCCAGAGAACATACATATAATTTTACAAATTGTTCCTACAGCAAAGTCTGCCCAAGGCCCCAATCAACTTGCACATGTGCTTTGGAGAAAAACCCATTTCATATCCTGGAAAGGGGTAAAGGCTTCGAAGATATGTTGTCTTGGTTTTCACAATAAATCCAAAAGAGAAGGCTATAGACTCCCCTACCCCGCATCTCACCACATCTCTTGAACCAGATGACATCTTCCTCCTGCCCGAAACTGCAATAAAGATTAAAATTTGGTCAGCACACTCCGAACAGCCACCTTAACATTCAAAGATGTATTAACTGCCCCATGGCTACCTCTCTTCGGGCTGAGTAAATCTAAGTCCTTTCAGTTTTCTCTGAAGATCATCTCTTTTAATCATTTAACCCACTTTATAATTCTTTTCTACATTTTGTCCAATCTGTGTGAAGCCCTCTGGGCACAGGGCAGGAGACACCCCTCGCTTGAGGAGGGCCTGCCAGCTCTGACTCTGGTAGGAATGTGACTCCATCTTCCCTTCTGGCATGAAACAGTACCCTAACACCTTTCCCATGATTTCTGCAAAAATCCTCCAAACCCTAATAATTCACCTGTGGCCAGGTGGGAATGTGATTAAGAAACTGAATCTCCCTCCCTCCCCCTACCCCATCTTAGGGAGGTTTCTGCTGGAAGAAGGGCCCAAGTGGGCGCCACTCCTCTCCTCTGAAGGCAGGAAACTGAGAGCCCCATGGTGAGGGGGGACAGCAAACAGGCAGCAGAGATGGAAAGGAAGGAGGAGCGGCCCTCACCACTCCAGGTGAGATCCTGGGGTCACAAAAGGCGGAAGCATACCTTAAGGTCCTACCTACCACCATAACCAAGGGCAGTGGGGTCAAAGCACCTTGCCACCCCCAAATCCACTGGAAAAGAAGAGGAAATGAGAAAAAAAGAAGTAGACACCAAGTTCCTGCCTGGCATTGATCCTGTTAACTAATCATTTATCATTTTTCCGTTCAGGTAACTTGGTCACGGTGCCTTGGAAAAAATTCCCATTTCAAATCTCAGAAAACCTCCGACACAAACCCATTCTTTTATTCCTGGTGGATCAGGCCTGCCAAGGATCTCAAGGACAACGTTTTTGTGTTTTTGTAGGACCTGGAGTCAGGTGGATAACCAACCATTCTCTGCAGGTGTTTCCCACTGGGAAAAATGGAATCTGGACGAAAATCCTTCCCAGAACACAATACAAAGTCCTGGATATGACTCCATCCCGAGGCCTGCTCACCAAACCCACAGTCCTCTGGTCCTGAGCTTCTACAGCACATCACCTAGGGCAAGGCACAAGGAACCAATCCCCCACCCTCCCCACTGGAAGCCCAGGGCCTGCTGCTGCAGAGCTCAGCTCAGCTGGGCAAAGCCGAGGGGGAGACTGGAGCGCTCAGTGCAGCTGAGGGGGCTTGTCCAGCCAGCTGACTCGGAGCAGGCCTCCTCCTCCCATTAGCCGGTTTACTGCTCATTAGTGGTAGTACCAGGACGTGGGCAGGGGAAACATAAAGGAGCTGAAATTCAAACCGGCCCATTTTATTCCAGTTAGGTGCCTCCCATAAAACCAGGCAGGATTTCATCCGCCAGGATCTCCCTGGACCCCTGACCTGGGGAGG